AAGAAGAAGAAGAAGAAGAAGGAGGAGGAGGAGGAGGAGGAGGAGGAGGAGGACGAGGAGGAGGAAAGATTAGGCTGAAGGAAAAAAAATCAAATATCTCTGCTACCTCACAGCTTAGCCTGGTGCATAAATTTCGAGCCATGACAAAAAATTTCTGACCACATTTTCCTATATATTTTTCATAGCTTTTTTTTTGAAATCCTGAACTTTTCCTAGAACTTCGTTGTCCATAACTTACATGTAAATATAATGACATGTAAATGTAATGAATAAAATATACAAGTAATGACAAAAGAACAGCACGAGCAAATTTGGCGTTTGAATTCGACGACGTGTGAATTTGGCTTCAATAAACATCGAAAGACTCAACCTTTTAGTACTGATGGAACATTCTAAGTTCAATAAAGACTTACACAATTTCAAGAGCCCCTCTTCCTGTGTTGTTGACGCAACAATAGGTAAATGTGAGATGCTTGCATTATTTTAAATAATACTTCGCATTGATCCTCGGCTTCCCCTACCTGCAAAAAGCGTTAGGCACAGTTATTTTAACCTAAGTTACTTTTGAGCTCAATCGTTTAGAATATTCATAAGTACATAAAAGGAGAAATAGCAATATACCTTTGTATAACAAGCCTTAATGTAATGACATGACACTCGAAGTACTGGTTACACAATGCGTTTTTATAGCTGCGCCTGTAATTTACGCATAACCCCGAAACACCTCATTTATTTCTCGCAGCGTGACAGTGAACAATCTTCTGTGGAAGCAGATTCCAGTGAGAAATTTTGTGTGTAACTAGCAAGTGTTAGTGAATATTTATTCTGCAATAACTTTCTCTCAATGTTAGAGAGTAGTCACTTCTGTGAGATAAGACATAGGGGGGTAAAAGGAAAGAACCTCTATTTTAACCAAGCAGTTGAAATTCTTAAAAGCACTTTTAATCTCGTATTTTTTTCTCTGCCTGCCACATTTTTTAGGGGCCAGAGCACTCGGCTGCTCATCCGCAAGTCGCGGGAACGAATCCCTGCTACGGCGGCTGAATTTTCGAAGGAGATGAAAAAGCTTGAGGCCGGTGTGCTTAATTTAAAGTTAAGCGGACGTTAAAGAACACCAGGAGGTCAACATTTCCATAGCCTTCCACTACGGCGTCTTTCACAGTCATATTGTGGTTCTCGGACATTAAACCCCAGCAAATAAATATAGGTCTCTCAGATACATTCGCTGCATACAGGTACTGTCTCTTGAATAGCCTTGCTGAAAATAATGGAGTGGCCACTTCAATATTTTCTCTCGCCCCTGCTGTCCCACACGATCCAAAATAAAAAAAAATAATAAGTTACGTGTTTCTGTTTTCTGTACTTTCCAAGAATATTTGCCAGATGTAAATGCGACACTGATGTCGTTCAGGCGCCATTTGAATGATGAGAACTTCATGAATTAGCCTGGACTCCACGCTTGCTGCTTCGAACGAATTAGTGACTATTTACTGTTGGGCTTCAGCTTTTCCTTGAGAGAAACGAACTGCTCGTCATTGAACTCGTGAGCTGACTAGAATCGGAGAGCCTAAAATAGGTCAAGACAGGGAAGTGGCTTTGCTGAACTTGTACTCAACCATGTCTTCCGTCGAATCAGCTTCAGGCCGCACGAAGACAAAGCAGTGTAGCTTATAGGTAAATCCATGTACGAGTCATGATTACCATGCTGGATGCATGCAGTTCGTTACAGCTTGTATAGACACTAATGCCAGAATTTTCTTCGGTGTAGTATTATAATTAAACTGTATGATTTATTCCTCCACGATTACATACCTGGGTATTTGACGCCCTAGAATAACAAGTGAACATTCGGCAGGAACTATAACGGTTGGCTCTGTCAAAATGGCTACGGTTGCTTTTTTACCATTTTGGCCGCATACAGATAATGCTTGGTACACTTTTAGGCTGGCATGCAGAATATATAGCTAAAGTTTTTTTTTTGTACAACACTTACCGAGAATTCTACTGACCTCTGCGCACATGGTAAAATAGAAAAAGAGCCATCTCCCCCCTCCTTCTTCCTACTCCACCTTTGCACCATAAGTGCGCAATGTCCGTAACAAATGAAACAAGCCCACATATTCATTTAATGCGCGTACTGCCATACCGAGGTGCCGAGGCAGAACGTCCTTTGAGTTAAAAACATGCGGATTCATGTGCAATGACATTCCTGTCATAAACCATCAATTAATAAAACACCCTGTCGCCACCAGTTGTACAGTGCACCTACGTTGAAACCTTCAAAAATTTATAATGGCGACACTAAAGACCTACGTGCTGCTCATGGCTTCTGTCATTTTTTTTTCGTATAATACAGAAGGTTTTTTTTTCTCTTGCCAGGTACCATGTATTCGCGGTATTATCAAATAACCAGCAATATTGAAATTAGAAAATGCATTGCCGAGGCGTAGTGTTGGTGTGCAAATATTGCTTTCCTATTTCCGTTGATTGTCACTTCATTCATGTAACCTGCATTTGTAAGTTTCCCTTCGTATTTTGAAAACCATTCGCTGAATATTGAGTGCAGGTGTATTTTACTCTCTGGAATGGCGTAGTTGCAATTTATGTTGTCACTATTGCCATGCTTTACAATCTACCCCGTATTGACATTATGGCGAACGATATCGCGAGTCAGAAGAATATTTTTACACATGCTATCACCTTGAGTTGGTCGCTTCGTTTTCTTTTTCGTTTCTGCGCTTACAAAGCGTCCTTATCTTTATCTTTGCGGGTCCCGTGGCATTTGAATGCTTTTATCTGCACTTCAGATAACGATAGAAAAAAAGGAGATAAAACATTGACTTGTCAGCGTTCACGTTCAGGATGTTTTCACGCCGACCTTGTGGCAGCTTGCCGAGGCTTTGCGCAAGAGTAGGTTTCGCAATCTTCGGTTTGCAGCTGTGTGAAACAGCAGCACCACTCGCTTCTGCGTCATGCCCGGTTCGAGCTTTCGGGCTTTGTATTTGTCGTGGCGTGAAATGGATGCTGTGAGCCTCACTACCATCGCTGCAGTGGCTGCTCTGCTTTTTGGCCCTATTGCCATCATCTTTGTGATTATGATCAGGTGAGACATGATTCAATTGATTGATATGTGGGGTTTAACGTCCTAAAACCACCATCTGATTATGAGAGACGCCGTAGTGGAGGGCTCCAGAAATTTCGACCACATGGGATTCTTTAACGCGTCCCCAAATCTGAGCACACGGGCCTACAAAATTTCCGCCTCCATCGGAAATGCAGCCGCCGGAGCCGGGATACGGACCCACGACCTGTGGGTCAGCAGCCGAGTACCTTAGCCACTAGACCACTGTGGCGGCGTGACGTGATTCAATAGCCAAAAGAAATGGTCTAGTTCACGTTCATGTTTTCTAACGACCTAATTATTGCCTCACCATAGATAATCGTCAACTTAATTATGAACACAGGGGCAAAGTAACACGGGCATAATAGGAAATGTCAAATCTAAACAAGTTATGTTCAATAAAAGTTCGAATTACCCTCCCCCCTAGATAACGACAATACATAGTGGGTCATGAGGGATTTATAAAAGTGCAATATTTCAAAAGCAACCAACATGCGGTAAGGAAACGTAGTACGGTTCGCCTTACAAAAGCGCCATTGACGTTTTTCCCAACTTGACTCTCCTCACCTTGCCTTTTGCCGTAAGGTTTCACGTTTGTGCCTCGACTTTCCCGCCCACAACGCCATGTCGTCTCAGTTTTTTAATTATAGAACTGCCGCAAAAAGCCATATCTTATCTTTGTAATCGAGATCTACTGCTGTTTTTGTTATTTTGTTGTTATGTTTATTGCTGTTTTGCTTGCTCTCTCTTTACCCGCCGCGGTGGTTAAGCGCCTAAGGTACTGGGCTACTGACCCCCTAGTCCTGGGACCAAATCCCGGCCGCGGCAACCACGTTTTCGTTGGAGGTGAAAATGCTTGAAGCTCGTGTATTTATACTTATTTGCACGTTAAAGTACCCCAGGTGGTCGAAATTTCTGGAGCCTTCCACTCACGGAACAAGAATATGCTCCGTACCTCCACTACAGCGTCCATCTTAATCATGTTGTATGTTGGGACAATAAACACCAACAATTATTATATAATTCTTTTTGTTTTATCTATCATGATGTATGCCCACTCCTCGTGCAATGTCAATCAGGATGCTTGAGATATTCATCAACTAAGACAAATTACGGTCAGCCACACGTTTAGAAAAGTGGCAGTTTTGCCGCAAGGGCGAAGCAATGAATGCGATAGCCAGAAATTGGAATGTCTGAAGAATACCGATGAGCACCTTGGTACCAGCAGCTTGCCGCTGAAGCCCAAAAACACCGCCATATCCGCAGAGTGAACTATGTTGGAGGGGATTGCTTGGAGCTGCACGTACTGTTTCTCGCTGAGACCAGAATGCTTGTTAACAAGTCGGTGCATGATGTGTACGTCGAATGCAGCGTTGTCGGGCACGTTCCACGGCCGCCACTGCACATTGTTGGCCACGTCAATCGACGCGTTAACTACCTACCCCTTTATGCAATACTGGCCACTGCCGTGAGTCAAGTGTCAAACGCTCATATATGGCAGACATAGTGCTATCACACCTGCTTCTACGGGGCTGAGAGTTGGCAGATAAGGAGGTGCGGGAGATTAGCGAAGTCTGGGAAGCAAGTGCTGAAAAATGTAACGACTGTTTGTTGTAGCTGGTGCCGACAATCTTTTGTTCTCTGAATAGCAGTACGTCGAGTCCACCGTTAAGGCGTACGATCTATGATAAACCTTGTCGTGAGGTCCCCGATGACTCACGATTGCGTACACCATGTCGTCTCTTCAAGAGTCACTAGACAGTGCAGTTCGTTGTCGTATTATTATGTTCGGCAAGACAGTTCAGCCTCGTCAAGCCTGCGTTCTTCGCAACTGACGCAATTGACCGAGAACTAATTTGTTTATATATATTCGCAGATGGAGAAGGAAAACATTTGACTTTTTCCGAGGAACCGGCATCCCGGGTCCACCAACGCCGAGTTTAATCTCGGGTCATTTCTACCAATTCTGGCAGGAGGTACGGTAACTAAATTTACTAACTTTTGGTAAAATACTCGTTATGATACCGATGACAATCACGCTGATAAAAGCCCTGTTTATTTTTAAGGTCACCGCTTGTTCATCCCATAACGTTTTCCAGGAACCGCTGCACAACTTGCTTTTTTTTTATTTCGAAAGACAGCCCGTTCTGCTTACTTGTACAATGGAGGCTAAGCCGTGCTGAAACAGGAGCATCGTGCGAAGACAAGGAAAGTTTACAGGTGCACACTTGTCATCCACACCCCGTGAATGGCGACTGTGCATCTAACAATTTTGCGAACTTCATGTTCGCAGCCCCACCGTGGTGGTCTAGAGGTTAATGTACTCGGCTGCTGACCCGCAGGTCGCGGGATTGAATCTCGGCTGCGGTGGCTGCATTTCCAACGGAGGTGGAAATGCTTTATGCCCATGTGCTCAGATTTGGCAGCATGTTAAAGAAACCCCAGGTTTGTCAAAATTTCCGGAGCCCTCCACTACGGCGTCTCTCATAACAATATGGTGGTTTGGGGACGTTAAACCGCACATATCAATCAACTAAATGTTCGCAATATTGTTTACAAAATACTCTACTGAAGCCGACAAAACTTCGAAGTGTTGTAGCATATTTTAGAAAGTGATTATCAACGGCATTTTACTCTCAAAATAAGTGATAAGGATATCGTTATATGAATGGCCCAAGGAACAAACACTCTGCAGTTGTGTTGCCAGTGCCCAATTCTTTTAAAAAATTTGGCATAGAATTTGTAACATTTTCACAGTAAGCATACCAAAGCTATTACAAAGTGAATTATGGCAAAGCGTTTTACAAATTTCTTCATAATGGTTGGGATATCATTTCTTTACATTTACAAATATGATCACAAACTACACAATATTTATTTGAGCACGAAAATGTGTATGTCAGTGAGTATTTTCAGTGAACAGCGATGCTGACATTTTGAATACGCTAATGTATTAAATGGTGGTCCTGGGACGTTAAACACCACATATCAATCAATCAATCTACTAAATGTCCGTCAATAAACAAAAAAGGTGTTTCTGCCTGTAAAGTCAAGAATTCCAAGTAGGCAGTCGTACCATGCAGAGTGACTTCTTGGCAACGTAAGCAGTGTGGATAAACCTCAGGACGCTACTTTTCTAAACAAGCACAAAATTTGATATAGACCAAAGACAACCATGTTTTTCAACAAACGCCTTAAAGCGACAAGACATTTTACAGCGAAAGCAGTATATGACGTATGGCTAGAGGGAACGAAAATTCATTTGGCAGTGGTATCAAAAGCGGTCTCCGTTGGATGTGGTAAATAGCTACGTCATTCCCAAGCACGCGCGCCATTGGCTGCGTTGTGTGTGACGTCGTCGCAGCTGTGATCCGGAGCCCGCACTCGACAGCTTATTCTTTTCCTACAGGCTCGCTGTTTCAGACGCTTGACACAACGCGGCGTTGCGGCGTCAATGGGACGATTGCGGGAGCACGTTGTGAACACCGCTTTTGGCGGGAGTTTCTCCAGTGGCCCATTGGCTACGGCTGCGCCGTCTGTGAACGCCTGTGGTTTCGAGAACAACCACTGTGAATAGCTCATTGCGAGACGCATTAAACCGCTCATTACATTCTTTCATGACCGTGATCATGCCAGACATAATGTGAGGCGTGTGAAATAATCATTGTGGTTAAACCGAGCGATAAGTGTGCCTAATCTCATTAAGTAGCACGAGCATGTAACCAGTAATTTTGAAACACTACAGTGCCACATCGGATTGAACGTACTTTTATATGCCGGGGCACACGTTTGAGCTTTCGCTAGTTAACCAATTGTTCGGAGTGCTTGGGTGGTGTTTTTTTTTTATTAGAAGACGTGATTTCGTCCTTAAAACCCTTCAAAATCGTAATCCCACTAAATAAATATTCATCTGTTTTACGCGGAGGGCGAGTTTTTTTTTTATTTCTAAAAAACACGATGTTCCTGACTCTACTTTAAGAGTCTTTCTTGTCATTCAATACATAGAGTCAAAACTGGCTCAACACTGTGCTACCGGCCGTTGTATAATACCGACATTTATTCATCCATTTCCAACCAACTCGATCGCGATGAAGGGGCTATGCGTGTCAAATTTCTAACAGTTGGACGCAACATCTCTTACTGAAGAGAACTCGTTCTCTTATGTATTGGATTTCTGACATTGTGGGAGTAGATGAATACCTTGTATTTTCCATGCAGATAAATATGTATTCCGTTTCGTCCTTTCCAGAACACCATAGAACTAATGGACGAATGGTTCAAGAAGTATGGAGACATCTACGGGTAAGTAAATGTGTCGTTTCAACGGGCGTTTGCGTAAGAATGCACAGTACAGCCAGACTATTATTCGGAAACTATACACACTCAGCTAAAACCTGTAGGCAAGTCTGGTAAAAAAAAAAAAACTTGGAGCCCTTTGCTCTGTTGAGGACATAGGCGCAGGCTCGTTGTTTGTGTGCAAGATCCCCAGTGCAAGGTAGTAAACCGAATGTGCGTCTGGTTAACCTCCCTGCCTTTCCTTGCATCTTTTTCTCTCTCTCTCTCTTGTGTGCAAGACGGACTTTGGTTTTTCACTTATCTTTTCATTAGTTATGTGTTCCCATGATATTGCACAATGCTATTTGCTATTTTATTTCTATCTATATGCCGGCAATGGGACCCTGCACAACATGCTTAGCAGTGTCATATTACTGTTGCTATTGGCAGCAACTAATGGCGTGCATGAAACAATAGAATGCAGCTGTGAAAGGCTACAACAAAATGAGGCAACCAAAAATGATACACGACCAAGGTCAGGTGTACATATCAGAAATTGCTGGTCACTTACAAACCCACGATGAACAGAGCATCTATTTTTGCCAATGGACGCATAAAATTAGGCATTTGATGGCTGTATATTTAAGGGTCGCGTTGCTGCTCACTAGATGGCGCCAGGACTATTCCGAATGATGCTTGCACTCCGACTGAAATTTGCAGCTCTCAGAAACTTGGCAAAAGAAAAATAATAATACATGAAAAGCTGTACCACTGCTCTACAGTATATTGTAACAAACAATGCAGGCTCTTTGTAAAAAGCTGTTTAATAGGCTGAATTTACCAAAAACCGAGAAACGTTCTCTTTGTAGCTCGAACTGCTCTTCACTTCTTCGTTGTATATTTTCTGGCCACAGTCATTCGTGATGTGGTTGCCGGCAGTGAAGGAGTGTTTCGTCATCGCCCATTCTTCTTTCTGCAAAGCGTCATTGTCCACTAGGAAGGCGTGCCTCGTCTAACGATTATTTCATGACTTCGATCAATTATACCACAACTATATATAAATGGCACATATATAAGTACAACGAGGAGTAGAAAAGACCAACCAAAAAACTACGTGATCAAGTGTCGAAATGGGAAGAGGGTAAGCGGGGAGGAAAAACAATTCAGCTGCGCAACGAAACGTTGAACGCGAGTATGTGTCGCATATATACACAATTTTATGTGTATGAAACACTAAATGTATGTAAAAAAGTGAAAGAAAGCCGTAAGGAACTGTTCATTATTAACGAAATGTTTGTTTCGGCACTTCAAATCGACGCTTTTCGCGGATGAAGGCAGTGCAAAAAAAAAAACATCTGCTAACTGTCATTTGAGAACTGACCGGATGGACACAGCGCACATTCACCATACCACACCAGATCGCTTAACACAAGGTAAGAGTTTACGACGCCTCAAGCTTATAGAGTGCGAATGCTGCACACGACTTGGTATGTAAGCGTAGCCGGAAGGGTGGGGGGGGGAAGGAATGCAAACCCTTCTTAACATTATCAATTTTCTGTGCCTATACCCATGCAAATACACTCGGGAACATCATAAAATACGGTTGAACACCCTCTCCAACCCCGCAAAACATCTCTGGCTACGCCATTGATTTTAGGTGTGTTGAGGCCTAAAAAAAGTTACACAGTTCGCTATGCATTTGCCAAAGTGGACTTTAACAAGAATTCCTTCTATTTCTACTTTTTCTGCTGTTTTCAATCACACGATGTTGTATTTTCGGTACCTTCTAAAATATTGCAGAACCTAACTTCTTTTGGTGGTGTCTCCGGGGTCTGACACTTTGCAACCTTTGTGTATATGGCGTGATTTTTTTTTCAGAGATAGTAGCCTGATATGATAAGGTGAGGTGAAGTTCGTGTCTTTATTTCCTCATCTTTCTCTCTCTCTTTATATATATATATATATATATATATATATATATATATATATATATATATATATATATATAAGGCTACTTGCACCACACTGCTTGGCGCATATTACTACCTCGAATAAACGCAGTGGCGACACCGACGCTACCTCTATATGTCCACAGGATTTTCAACGGTGATACTCCGTTCATCTTGGCGAAGGACCTGGAACTCTTGAGGCGCGTGTTCGTCAGTGACTTCGGGCAGTTTGTGGAGAGAGGGGTGAGTGCTCCTTTATTAAGCTTGCAATATCAACACCAATTTATGTGGAAAACTTGCACCGTGCCTAACTTACCGAATCACACCTGAAAGCCATCACCTTTCCTGACAATCTTAACACTACAGAGATTCATAGCGTTGGGGAAGCTTGGGCCTTGATACAACACTTTAACAAAAGTACACGTACTCGGAGAAAGCAAGGAATGCGCTTGCCCTTGCTCGGTAGGTATGGCCAAGAGGCGCCCCATTTCAATATGTGAGGTTGGGTAAATAGCGTCCTAAAGAGACACCGAAGGCAAATACTATGCCGACGTCATGTTAAAAAAGCATTCCAGAAACATCGTCGCGCTTTTTTCGTGCCATGAAATTGCACAGTTCTGAAAACAAGTTTCGCGTGGGTTATCAGCATATCACTACTTATTATCAAACGGGCCACCTCCACGGACTTCCTCCTGACCTAGCATTCGCCACGCCCTCCCTTTACAGCCCGAGAGCCGGCGAAGCAGACTGAGAGGCTTCAGCGGAGCACAGAATAGTTTGCGCATTAATTAAGGTGGATGATTGAATTAGTGAATGATCCATTATCGGTATATATTTTGAGGTCAAGAACAAGGACGAAAGTGGCACGGGAACCTTGCAACTCCTTCAGCGAACCTTTCATTGCTCTCTTTGATAAAAAGCGTCAGTTCCTTGGAAGTGGCGCGCATGGCCAATGCATCGGCTGCATTATACTTTTTTTTTTTTTGAATAGTATACCAGATTTTTTCGCTTGAACAGCGTGAGTTCAGAAAACAGTTGTGAGTGATTTAGAGTACTTGGTATTCTACTATGGAGGAGCTAAACGCCATCCCCATGTCACCGCTATGATTGGTCCCTGTAGTGTCAGTGTGTGTAGAAAAAGTGGTCAACGATTAAGAGTACTAGGTACTAGCCGTCCCGGGGGCCATTGGGACCGAACGTGTGAAGTGGCAGAGTCTATTAGCGCATAGGTGCGAGAAAACTAAACTCAAGTAGGCAGGCTAGCACACGCTATCTCAAAGAGTCTCAGCACTGGCACTAGTCTCTTTACAGGTTTCTTCATCATTTATCGCCACCAGTCTCAGCAGAGGCCAAAGCATGAATCGCTGCCCATAAAACTGATTACGTAGCATTAAATCCTTTGAAATAATGTCACTAAGCGTGAAGCTTCACGGATACTTATCTTGGGTGTGGTGATAAGGAAATCAAAGCTAAAGACATGCAGTTTGATATATCATAGCTTGTCATAAACACTGGGGCCACACTTTTGAGCTCTTTTAACTCGATAGCGTTAGAGAGCTCGTGTCGCAGAAATTCCGCCGTCGGCGTCGCCACCGTTGGTTGTGAGCGAGAAATCGTCCGTAAGCGAAAACTTGAGAAGGAAGAAAATAAAATAAAGAATAAAGTTTTTGGTCCTATTGAGGATCAAACTCGGGCAATTCGCGTGGCAATCAGGTGTCCTATCAAAAATCCACGATGTTACTTTCAGGTGCTTCAGGAAAAAACATTACATAAATGCCATGTGGTGGAACGAGTCTCCTTAAAGCATTTTGTTCCACAAATGTCACGACGAAAACGAGCCCATTCGGCGATTTGTAGGTGCATTTGTGAGACCATCAAACTACGTCCAAAAAAGGCCGAAATAGTGTAGCCACCACTGCTAAAAACGCAGAGGAACTTTAAAACAGCTCTAAAAATGGACAACTATCTCCATCTAGCGGAAAACATATCATACCTTTCTAGAAGCGTTGATAAAGCAAACAGCAAACGCTAGACAATGTGCTGCCATATGTGAGGCATTTTGATACTCTTGGTGGCCAAATGGCAAGTAGCATTCGCGCGCGTTTGTGTGTGTGTGTGTGCGTGTGTGTGTGTGTGTGTGTGTGTGTGTGTGTGTGTGTGTGTGTGCGTGTGTGTGTGTGTGTGTGTGTGTGTGTGTGTGTGTGTGTGTGTGTGTGTGTGTGTGTGTGTGTGTGTGTGTGTGTGTCATCTGTGAGACATAGTGAGACATTGGGCCGGATTTGGCTATTGCTTTCAATTCCTAAAGGTGAAGCTTTAGGGTCCCCCAATTTTTTTAGTGATTCGTGATAAGAGAAAGAAGACATGTAATTTCTGTCTGCCTCTTGGGCTACATAGTGCAGTGCCTTGTGGGGGAGAGGGAGGAAGGGATAAAAAATTGGCAGCATATCCACGGAGTGAATGATGGATAGTGGGGCGACGCATTCGTCCGTCCATTCGTTCTTGCTTCCGTCCATCCATGCGTGCGTCTGTGTGGCCCCCGTGCGTCCATCCGCCCGTCCGTGCTTGCGTCTGTTCGTGCGTCCACACGTTCATCTGTGCGTCCGTCCCTGCTTTCGTCCATGCATCCACCCCTGCGTCCGTCCATGCGTCCATCCGTCCTTGCAGCCATCCAGGCGTCCATCCATGCATCTGTCTGTGTGTCTGTTCGTCCACCTATTAACACTCCAAGTACCACCATCTCGTATTTTTTCATCATGTATTACCCATATAGAAGTACCGCCATCCAGCGGACATTCCAAGGACAGAACGAGAGGAGGCACACGCGCACTTTCTTACGGCTTGCGTTTCGTGTCTACTTCCCACTTTTAACCACCTCGAGTTCATGGTATATACTAGTTCACCGTATTCATGGCACTGCGGCCCAACGCTCGCTAAACCTTTTTAAAGCCTAGGAGGTTACGCCCAGCGAGCATAACGCAGCAACCCTTTCTTGTCTTCTGTGCATTGTTCAACAATATAAAATTCGCTGCGTGCGCGTTAACTAGAAGCCGGATTCTCCTTTCTCTCATTCCCCCTAAGCAGCCATTGGCCTGTACATTGAGCACCATCTTTTATTGTTCAACAATGCACAGAAGAAATCTCTCACCGGCAACACCTTGGAGGTCAAAATGTAATACTGGTTACACACTACTACTACGGCTACGAGGGACGAACGGGTGCCGCTATAAGAAGCTTCGCCCCTAAAAAATAAAGAATCGCAGCATATCCACGGAGTGCATGGCGATAAGTTGGGCGAAGCATCTGTCAGTCTGTTCGCGCTTCCGTCCGTCCTTCATGCATCCATCCATCCATGCGGCTATCTGTGCCTCCGTAAATCAATCCAATCGTTCGTGCATCTGCCTGTCTGTCCACCCGTTCGTCTGTTCATCCGTCCGTCTATCTAGTGAAAACTATAAGTATACTGCCATCCCGCATCCTTTTATCATATAATCATAATATTTCTTTCGAAGTACTGCCATTCAGCGGAGAGTCTAAAGACTAAACGAGAGGTGGCACGACCGGACTACAGGAGCGGCAAACGCGCTCTCTCTTACAGCCTTCGCTTCGTGTCCAGTTCCCATTTTTCACCGCCGCTAGTTCATGACACTGCAGCCCAACCCTTGGCGAAGCTTGCTAAAACCAAGAAAATTCACACCCAGTGAGGTGAATCTTTTCTGGTTAGATATCGCTCAAAGTGTGTCCTCCTGTTACTATAGTTTTTTTAGTAAGCATCACATTTGTGGTGTACACGTATCCCGAAGGAGTACGGCCACCAGCGTGGGTCCGGTCTTAGCGAGCCGCAGGGCACGCGTCAATCGTCGCCGTGGCGGGAAACACGATACTGCTCAAGTCGCAACACTTTATTGTGGCAACACCAACGCAGTACAGCCCGTTGCAAAAAGGCGCGGCGGGAAAGCAAGTAGGCTTATCCACGCCACGGGCACAAAGTACTACACAGGGGTGCCACGAGCACGTCTCCGCGGTAAAGGTAATCCACGGAGACACCGGGACAAAGGGGCCCGGTTGCTCGAGCGAGGGCAAAGGCGCTCGCGTTGGCTTCGAAGGGAGACGGGTCGGCGTAGCTAGGCCACGCACTAGGACACCGTACTGCCCTTCGGCCGTGAGTACGCAGCGGGGCAACAAAAGGTGAGCGTTCGCATCGGGCGCGAGGCGCCGTCAGCGAAGTCCGATGAGCCCCGAGCGACGGGACTCGACGGACGGAAAAGAATGCGTGGCTCACCGTTTGAAGTCCCGGACTGTACTCCCCGCTCCCGACGCAGCGCGCGAAAACCTCTCGGGAGGCTCCCCGCGCGGCGCCACAGTCAACATCCGCTACCGGGTGAGGGAGTTAAACGTCACTCCGCCCTTCCCAGCGCGGCAGACAGCAAAGGAGGGCAGACATGTCGGGACATGAGAATGGCAGAAAGGCGGGAAAGCCCGCGCAAAGGCAGCGGGCCAGCCTCAATTCCCACATCCCCCTCTCCTAAACTTGTCCTTTACCGGTCTGCAAAAGGCAGCCGGACGTCACCCATGCAGTTAAAATGACACTGCTATGAGCGGTAGCTAACCTCAGTCCAGCCCTGCTACTGCTGCTTAAAAGAAATATGATTACAAAGGAGAAACAAAAACATAAATAACAAAATAAACACACGACACTATACAATTACTGCAGAAGGGAGCACAGAAACGTGGCACTAGTGTTCGTGGTGCTGAAGGGGGATAGCGTCCACTGCGCGGAGGGGCGGAAAGGCGTGACAGTGTCCGCTGGGTGCGATGCCCGAGTGCGAGGTCAGAGGTACCGGAAGGGGGGGCTCACTGATGGCTTGTTCCTGCTCTTGATAAGCCGCGAGTCCGACGAAAGCCGCTTCGGTTGTTCGGAGGCCCCGCATTTCTGGCTCGATGAGGGAGCTGGACGTTGCGGGAAGCCGGGCCTCTCTGGTGGTCAGGGAGGCCGGACCAAAATTGGCTGCGAGGCGCCCTGGCGTTGACCGGCAGCATATAGCTGCTTTCAGCTGGCCTCGTGCAGGAGCCATGGTGGGAAAGGCAGCACGGCTTCTTCGGCGACAGCCGAGAGCAGAGCACAGCCAGATGGTCTGACGTCAGTGGGTCAATGACCCCCCAGCACCTCCAGCGTCCGCATCGATGGGGGGGAAGCTATGACGCACTCCTCGCGGGCTCGCACCGAAGCGTCACGCACTCACACA